AGCCTACCAGGGAAAGCAGCATGAAATTATACCTCAGTATTGTTTCCTTTTGTAGGACAGTACAGATAAGTTTTGTTCTGTACATGAGATAGGGATGGGTCCTTCCTTCATGACTGGCCACTGATCCTTGGGGTTTCCAGCCACTCTACAGCAGGTGGATTAGCTGCTGATGTGATCCAGTCACAGGAAGCTGTTAACTCTTCTCTAGTACATATGCAACTATACATGGGCTGCAGTGCTCTAGGGTGGGACTACGCTTGCAAGACAAACCGGAGCATTTAGGCTTTGCTGTGGGCTTGATTCAAAGACTATTCCAGGGTTGTATCCAGTTTAGGTGAAAACAGTTTAGACACACAGTGTTCACACTGGCCCTCAATTTGATAGAATTTGATATGCGCTCACAGTCACACTTCCTTTGATATCACCCACCAAGTGATTCCTGGCTCTCTTTTCTTATCCTCTCCCCCCCACCCCCGTGTTAAGGCGTTCTAGTGCTATGTATCAATGCAGTGTATCGATGCAGTAAAGTAATGTATCAATGCAGTAATAAGATGATCCAATGCTAAACTTGGTAGTTTGTTTTAAAACAATTTTTAAAAATACTTTGGGACAGCTAGGAAGAAAGACTGCAGGAGTGGGTGTTACTGCTGTCCTAAAACATCATGCCCTAGCTTCATGCATCACCATAACACAACCCAGGGTCACGTCCTCCTCCCTTTGTAGAATGAAACATATGGGGAAAATCACTGGGATAGAAGCCTTCACTGGGCTTCTATCAATTTTTCCTTCTATCCCAGTGATTTTCTATTGAAAATCACTGGGACAGAAGCAAGGCAAAAACAGACAAACCAGAAGCAAAGAGGGCCAGCCTGATTTACATTGGCCTTTGCATCATTGGAAAACACTTAAATTCACCCATGCTAATTGCAGAGGAAATCCCTATTTGTCAATATAGTCTCAGCTTCAGTCATAAACTGAGAGCCTGAGGCAAAGGCAAAGTTTGTAAAAATCTGTGACAAACTCTCAAAGGTGGATTGACAGGCAGTAAGAAGTGTTTGGATAATGACTGAGAGAGCATTTCAAGTATTTGAGGTAGCCTACCAGTAATTTTCACAGCACCCTTTGACTATTCCAATAACAGAGGAAAGGGCCTGAAGCTGACAACTAGCAGTTTACTTAAAGGGCCACCTAGTGAGTTCGTAGCACCAAGAAAATAAGTTCAGCTGAGTTCAGCGGAAGCAACATGAGGTCTTCAGACTAATACCACACTTAATTTCAAAAACCCACTGCAAGCCACCTGTTCAGGTCTCTGCAGGGGCAATTCACCCCTTCCCTAGCAATCTGTTAATAGTGGGGGGAAAGTGATAGCGGGGAGAAGAGGATGGTGTGGGAAGAAGAAAGGGACTGCAGAGAAACAGGGAGAAAAAGAAAAAGTTGGCAGACTGAGAAAGAAAGAAAAACAGGAGCTAAGGTGGTGCAGTGGACAGAGGAATGGACTAGGACTGAGAAGACATGAGTTTAAATCCTCACTTGACCACGGAAACTAACTGTGGGTGGCAAGGGTAAAATTATTCAAGTATCCCCCACACCATGGAAATCATATGATGGTGACCATAAGTCAAAAATGATCTGATGGCATATAATGCACACAACCTACTTTGGACTGTGTCTTGTTCACTATTAGCATGTGATTCATGCGTTTACTCCCCAGGGAATGTTCAATTTAGCAATTAAGGCCAGAATCCATAAATTTTAATTTGTATTAGCTTTAATGTTTTAGGGTTTGTTGTTTGGTAATTATGGGACTTGTGTGACTTTGGGAGGATTGCACTTTTTGTAAATTTTGTAAGCTTGAACATTTGTAGCTATTCCTGTAAATTTTAATTTGTATTAGCTTTAATGCTTTAGGGTTTGTTGTTGTTTGGTAATTATGGGACCTGTGTGACTTTGGGAGGATTGCACTTTTTGTAAATTTTGTAAGCTTGAACATTTGTAGCTATTTTAACATTTTTTTTGTTTATTTTATATCAGGAATTCTAATTTGCAATATTTCTAATCTGTTTTATTGAAAGGTACCATATTACACTTCTTTTAAAAAAATGATGCCCCCAATCTGTTTCTCAAGTGGCTGTGGCTGTTGAGCAGGGACGAGGACTCAAGTCGTGGGACTCGCTATCACGTTGGACTTAAGTCACACCAGTGACTTGACTTGAACTTGACTCGTGATTCAAAGCCCAGCCAACCCTTCCCTTTTTTCTAGGGAAAAAAATCTTGTTTTATATAAGGAATTGGGACTTGGTACCAAAGACTCAGACCCAAAGGCTTGCCAACATCCCTGCCTTTGAGAGAGAGAAAGAGTTGTCCAGACCTGGTTTAACCATCATCCTACAGCGCGGCCATTTTACTGGCACAAAGAGAAGATGAGGAGATAAAGTTTTATCTCATATCATCTTTGTGAATACATCCCAGCAAAATCGCCTTGCATGAAGGCAAAACATTGATAACACACCTGCTCGTTAGCATTGCTCATTAACGCACGGATGTAATCCATCACTATGAAGCTTACTAGATGTTAGTATTGTTTACTTTGTACTATAAAATAAACCTCTCACTTGGGTGAGGGAGAGCTTTTGGTTCATGACTCTTGTCTCCGTGTCTTGATTGCTGGATCCTGGGCTAGGATCCCTCATCATGAGGAGATGTTTTATCTCATGTCATCTTTGTGAATACATCCCAGCAAAATCAAACCTGCCAAAAATACTAATTGTTTCATGCCTATAGATTGTATTCCTTCCACAGCTGAGCAGATGCCACTCTGTTAGGTACAGAATTCTGCACAGCGAGTAAGTTCACACACAGTGATATCAGAAGATATAGAGCCGCAAACAGAACTCTTAAGCTTTTTTTAAAAAATCTTCCTCCTTGGAGACCAGTGTGGCAACAGCTGCTGGAATGTTTCCTTTATCAGGACTGCTGTGTGACCGTTATGATGAGAGGCAGGCAAATCCAGCCTCTGTTCTCTGCCATAGGGCCTTTGATGCAAAACGCACCATGAGTGTGAACCATGAGTATTCCAAGACCTCTTTGAAGCCTCAGTCAGATTTTCTTGGCACTGTAACAAAACAAATACTGTGCAGGGCTGAAATACCTGACCTATCACAATAAAAGTCACTGCTATGTTTTAAAATAATCTTTTATTAAACTAGGCATTAAAAGGCATAGCAGGCTCTCAAAACCACTGTGGTTCTGTTTAGCATAGTTGTTTCAGGGGTAAAAAAACCACAATTTTGCTAAGTCTGATTGCTACCTGGCTGGGTATACTTCTTTCAGAATAAATGGTTCTAAGACTGCAACATTAGTTAAAAATCACAGACAGACGTATGAATAAAACTTTATTCTGTTACACTACAATTTTGTATTGGCCTGATTATACACATACAGAAGCTCTCACTCGCTCCACTTGGTAAATTGTTTCACTGAATGAAGACATCTGAAGATTTTCTAGCTGAAAAGAGTTTACTGCCAACATTTTTCCACAAAAGAAATCACACTTTCCCCAATTAAGAAATATTAGCTATATTATGCTATGCAGAACAAAGTTCCAGTCTACAATGCAATTAAATGTAATGAATAGCTGGACTATTGTTCATATAATGGGCTATCAATTTTATGTTTATTAGCATGGCTCAGGGGTGAATGTATGCCTACCACTTAGAAAGTAGAAGTGCAAAACAGCAAGTTATTGCTGAAAGGAAAGCATAGAGTACAGTACTTTGCATTTCTGAAAATGTTTCACAGCTAAAACCAATTTGGGAATGATTCCACTCCATTTCCCTTTTCAAAAATATAAAGAGCAAAAGAAGTGAAGAATCAATGCAATGCTTTGTGTATTTAGCCTTAATAGTGCTGACATGTGAATAGACATGAATAAAGTTGTGCTGTTTATTATCCTATCTGTCTTCATGGGAAACTTTTGGCTGACTTCAATTAAGAAGAGAGCTGGGAGTCTCAGGAAATAACTTTATTAAGGTCTGGAAAAGTCAGCGAGAATCTCTAAGGGTGGCTAAAATTTCAACAAATATGTTGCCCAAATTACTGTTATTAAATTTGTTCTTCCTTTGCCCAAACTCGTCCCTGTCCTCTCCTCTGTTGTCTCCCTGTCATTTGTTTTCAGACTGCGAGCTCCATGGGGCAGGGATCTGTCAGATCTGTTCTTCTTTAAATGTCACATACATAAATCTCTCCTTCTAACAAACACACAAACATTATGCTATTACCGACAGCTGTCCTAGCAGGTAATAAAAACAAAACAAAATTTCCAGCTCTACGTATTTTTAAATCCCATAAAACTGCAATTATAACCTTTTTTCTTTCACCCACATAAGCAAGTAAACATTCAGTACAGAAGGGCTTTTCCATAAGTGGAACTCTATGACAGAACAGTCCTATGTGCTGCACCAGGATTTCCCTTGCAGCTGTAACTTCAGTAAGTGATTTCTGATAAAGAGCGGTCAATGTCCTGATAAAGGCCTCCACCATGACCACAGCTACTCCCTCCCCCAGTGCATCTTTCCATTTTTTTCCCAGGACTCCAAGAATTTTCTAACCAAGTACTCATGGTACAAACCCTTACAAAGGACATTTTACCAGTGCTTGGAAACATCATTGTCTTCATCATAATCAGTCCTACTACTGCCCCCTGAATTGGTCAATCAGTGTGGCCAGTGGCCTCACAATGAACCTATAGTGTTGCAGGATTATATATCTAAGTATAAATATAAAAGTCACGGTCCAATGCTAATTTTATTTTATTTTTTAATAATTCAGGTTTAGTCTTCTGTGACAATATCTGCCAGGAAAACATCATCCTACTGGCACACACTTCCCACAACAATGGGGATCTTTAAATGCCCTTGACTGTTTCTTAATATCAAACACAATGGAAATATTATCCACTAATTCAAAATTCTACAGCCTCAACCATCCATTCTCTTTCCTACCTTCAATTATGTGAATATCCACGGCAGCCCTTGCGTCTTCACACTCCTCAGATTGTACATGCAAGAAGGCCAGCACCGAGGATTGTTCTAGGTCAACAAAATCACTGTACATCAGGGTAATGACTGACTTTTGTCTCTATCATATCACACAAAGTAGTTTATCAAAGAAATACAGTCTGATTTATAACAGCATGCACTTGAATATACTACAAATGATCTGTGTGCAAACAGTGAATATCTTTCTAAAAGAAGAAAAATAAATGAACAAGTTGCTAAGTCCAAGGTCTTTGCTCTGCATTCTGTCAACCTGGGCCATCACTAGTGTGTTGGTAAAAGATAAATCTAATCTTAAGCCTCCTATCACCAGGCAAGCTTGCTCCTGTTCCCTCTGATCAACTGCAAAGAAGTTTTACTACTTTGGTATATAATGAACTACAACAGCTCTCCCTGACAGATTTCTGCACCTTTCAAAATGTGCAAGGAATCAGCAAGGGAACACTGCACTCTTCCTCAACACTCCTCTTTTATGCTCTCTGCTTGTTAAGCTTTTTATTTTAAAAAAAGAACCAAAGGGCAGTTAGATCAAGAAGCTACACCACTGGATGTAAGATGCAATCCCATGCAAAGAGTTTACTTCCAAGTCATTCCCATCGGGAGAAATCCTGTTGCGCAGTTTAGCATGTGCAATAATAATGATGTCATCAGGAGCGACAAAACTGCTACTGATTATAGGCTTTCTTTGATGATTTTGGGCTTTGGGTGACATGTACACAATGTGTAAAAGTCACATGCACTCCAAAATTGCAAAAGGAAGCCTTTCAACAGTGGCATCCTCCAACCACCAATAAATCATGACATCATTGCTACTGCTCAGGTGGAGCCACACAACAGGATTTTGTCCATTGTGTTTAATGTGAGTTACTCCCTAGGCATGTGTATCTAGAGCTCCAGTTGTAATCACTAATTCAGCTGTAATGTATGTGATTTAAACAAGGAATATTAGTTTCCTTTTCCTTAAGATTCTTTTGATACCGCAAACAAGGTATTTCATTATAAGCAGTTGGTTTTACACACAGACCAAGAGTAAACAGTACATTTCTGAGGATTCTCACCGTTTCAGCCAGAATTGACAATCCATGTCCTGCCACAGCCCTTGAGACTAAGAAACCCTTTCTGCATAGTATTTCACTTATCTTCCAGACCTTTCCTCATGGGACTTGAAAGCCTATTGCTTTTCCAGTTTTGGAATTACTGTAGTTTCGTGGGAGAGGTTGGGAAGGTATTAAGAATTATCACAGGAAAAGGACTAAAGAGTTTCCTGGCTAGTGAAAACAATCTCTGAACCTAAGCTAAGTAGCAATATTTAAATCCTGGGCGCATGAACCTCTGTAAATAATAGACCTGTAATACCTGCTGTTACTTCTCGTACTTTCACGGCAAGGAAAAAAAAACTGATGCCTGTACAGCCATACACTTTTACACTAATAAGATGCTTCCAGAAGTTTACAGAAGCAACCATACTGCTTAGGTGTCCAGCAGCCATTTCAGATAATTAGGTGTTCATGAATTATTAAGACTAGGTCAGTTTCTCAGCAAGCCCAGGAAACACTTTCTGTTAGCAAGCACATTAGAAGCTGAATATGATCAACAACTACACAGTTTGCTATCTGACATGTCATGGAAAATGATGGCATACAAAAGAAAGCAGCATTCCCAAATGTAGAAGTAACAGCCATCTTGGGATGTATTCATATTCACTTCATTATATAAATCCTGCCCTTCCTCCCTACCCCACCCCCCAAAAAGGACTCAAAGCAGCATACAGCAGCTGAAAAAAGTATACATATATTTAAAATCAAAATTAATTACAAATATTAATATTGAAATACAATTAAACTTAGAAAAGCATTAAAACATTAAAACAAATTTATAACATGTGATTAAAAATAGAATATGCTGCATCACCCACTAAAAACTCTAATCTTGCCAGGGCATTCATAACTCAACAGTCAGTTCACAAATCACATGGTTATCATCAAAATGAATTAGAAAATACACGAATAGGTGCACAAGGGAAAAAAAAGATTTATTGAACCCATGGGAAATGTTTCTTTTTCTTTCTTTTTTAAAGCTCTTACTCCCACAAATTGGAATCCTCCAGATGAGTGGGATGATGCCTCCCACCATACCCAGCCAACACAACAAATTGATCATAATGTTTTAAGATAATGAAAATTATATTCCAGAACATCTGGAGGGTATTAGCTTGGGAAAGGTTGCCCTTCTTCATGTAAACCCATAAAGAGATATAAGAGGAGAAACAAACCTGGAAGAAACTGTACTGGCTTCTCAAAGCAAAAGCTCAGATAAGAAGGAATGCAACTTAGATAAATATCAAGAACCAGCAACTCAAGCCAAGTTGTCAGTATAAAGGCATGTTAGCAATCCACTCTCTGTGCCAGGCGAGTACACAACATACAGATTGGGCAAAGAAAAACGATGTGTTCCACCTCTGCTCCAAATCTCAAAATTAAAAACACATTCTAGAAATGAAAGAAAATTGGCAAGTCCCAGATGCTAAACTCTCTTTATAATCACCCTAGCCAAAAACATGCAATGACTTGCAGGGGGACATGAATCCTTTCTGATCTACTCCTTTGATTATCCAGTAAATGTGGCCTCACCCAAGAAGTAAGCAGGAAAGAGTTTTGGGGCAAAGCTTACAATGGATCTGTCCAGTCTAGATAGCTGCTATGTTTGTCCACCACAGTCAAGCAGAGACACTGAAGCTCTAGGAGGCATTTCATCAACATCTGACATACACTTTTTCAACCATGTTGTACAAGAGTCTGCCCTGTTTATTACTCGCAGAGAAGAAATCACAACCATAGTAGTGACACTATAAAAAGTTCGAGAGTAAAAGACATCACATCATGAATTATAAATGCAGAACACAAAGTAAATACACATTCAAACAAAACCTCATGCAGGGACTGCTGCCTGAGTATTTACAGACATAACCACAGAAGGGCATAAGTATGTGATTACACTAGTGCTCATCCTTGCTTTCTTATAATTTTAATATCTGAAGGAAAGATTGGTTTGGATCATAAGAAGGAATCTCTATCATATCTTTTTTGTTTGACAATTCTTCCAGCCAAACAATTCTTCCACCCAAAACAAAACTCAATTAACAAAAAGGTTTATTTCAACAACTTGTGCTAAAGGCATTCCATTTTCATTCAAGCTCTAAAATGCCAGGAAACTCTAGCTGTTAATGACCATGTGATTAAATAACGGATCATTTAGGCAACATAGATACTGTATATGGCATCCTTTGCTGGGGATAATTTCAGATTCACTACTCTCTCACAGCCAGACAGCTGAACTGTTGACCAGATTTATCTGTTCAGCAATAGAGACAACAAATAGAAATATTCAGGCAAGACCCTACTCAATTATCCACAATATCTTCCTAGCCACACTTTTAAAAAGGTGACTCTTAAGTTCCTCTCTGGGGGTCTCCACTGTGGCCCACAATGTCCCTCTACTCACTTGAAGAAATTATTGGATTATCTTTAAAGCAAAGAAGTAATTACATTAGCAGGAGAAAAATGAGGGTGACTCAGCATTAGCTTCTCCCATGATTCCTTTTAAATAGAAGCACAGATGTCAAACTGTGTGAAGAACAGCACAATGGAACAGAACAGACTGCAAAATCTGTGGTTTGGAAGCCGGTGTAAACGAATACATTTTCAGATCCTTAACTACAAGAATCTAAATGCTTCCTCCTCTCCAGTATACTCGAGCCTGGATCGACACTTTGCATGGATCATCCCCTCCTCACTACCCACTACAACTGAGGACTGGGAGACGAAATTGTTCCTGAATCTTATCCCTACTGCTTGTTTTCTGTGCAATAGGCAACAGTTCTCTTATCCAACTAGCTATATAAATCAATTTCTCAGGCTACCTAGCAACCAGTCTCTTGGCTGGCTGAATGCATGATCATGCATTTACAGAGGTCTCTAAAACACTTGGTTTTCCAGCCTGTTAAGCGACTAACAGAAGAACATATTAATTCTCACAGTTCCTTCAGGTCTCAGTTACAAGATCAGCCTTCCCTTCTGTAACCAAAGGCTTTCTTCTTGGCTGCCCCCCTCATCAAATGAAGACCTTTGAAGAAACACATTTCCTTAATTATTTCCTTTGCAATGAGAATCTGTTGGTTTACTAAAGAGGCAATATTGTCCTATTAGATCCTACAAGAGATGCAAAATGCAGGTAATCTGGCAGATGCAAACTGAAGGATATTACTGTTGAAGGTCACAGCATGAGAAGGAGCTGCTCCTTATTCCTTATTCACTGGATTAAAGGTTTACCTACAAGACTAGACAGATGTAGTTGCACATCAGAGTGCCGTTTCAGTAGTGGTGATGATTCGGGATGGTACAGTTCACACCCAAGCTTCATTTCTAGCTGTTTCCAATATGTACTTGTTTTTTTTTAAGCACTCTGTTGTATGTGCTCCAGAAAAAGAATTGGTTGTGATATGAAAGAAAGAGGTAATGAGTAATTTCCTCTAGATACATATCTGCTATTAACCCAATCTCTTCTCATTTGGGATTTGCAAGGTTGTCTGCCTAGAAAAAGGCAGCCAAATTAAGGACTTAAAGGCTGTCAATGACCAGATCTTGCTGGGGGAAGGGGAGATGAGGATGGCCATGAAAGGCAGGGAACCAGCTAAAGAATGTCAACCTCAAGATGTCAAGATTGGAAGATATCTTGCATTGCCAGACAGAAACCATTTGACTACTTTACTAATGAAGTATCAAAAAACTTTCAACATGAGTAATTTACCAAGTCTAAAAATATCAACACTTTTTGGCTCTGTGTGGTATGTGGCTGTGTGTTTTAATCTTCATATTCTTTTACACAGTTTTATTATTAACCTTAACCGTCATCAATATTTAAGTGGGAAACAATTGCAATATAACTTGCATGTAGTAGGCATCCTTCAGTCTTGAGAGACTGTGGTAACGTGCTCTGAATATGATGCAAAAATACAGGCAAGCTGAGGTGGTTTT